AGTTGACTTGTGGCCGAGTTGACTGCAGCCGAACTTTTTGTGGCCGAGTTGATTTGTGGCCGAGTTGACTTGTGGCCGAGTTGACTGTGGCCGAGTTGACTTGTGGCCGAGTTGGATCGAATTCGAGGGGAATACATGTTTTGAAGGACTGGTTTGCAAAAAATATCCGTTATAATGAATTGTTTTCAGATGCTTTCAAATCGGGCGAGATTGGAGAAGGAGGAAACATGGGAGAAGATTTTACGACGGTACGTATTGCTAGCTGTGCTTGTCATGAATCACCCTTGTCAGGCAGGCCTAACTAGTAGGTCTAGGCTAGTGTATTTGAATGGGTCGGTGGCAGTGCGGCGGGCGGTCTAGCTAGGCCCCGTCTACCAAGCCCGACCTGGAAACGGTCGCACGGGCCTACACATGTTAAGAAAATCAGTTTGGTATAGGCCTAATAAGATTTGTAAATGTTGAGGTATAATTTAAAACTATTTGTCCTTTGAGAAGCAAGACTATCGAAACGTATCAAGCAAAGTAGGCCTAGAGTAGGCTAGCCTGGCTTCCTAGAGTAGAGGGGCCTAGATTAGGCCTAGGCCTAACCCAGCAGGATCTATGCCTAGGGCCTAGCCCTACTTAGGGGGCCTAAGTTTGTTTTTGTCATCCAGTCATGACATACATTTGAGTAGTGCCAAAGTGCGAGCCAGCGAGTCATGCGAGCCAATGTGCGAGTCATGCGAGCCAGCGAGCCATGCGAGCCATACACTTAATTTTTTTTTCCAGGTTATCCAGTTTTGCAAACACGTAGGCCTAGCTTATTCTTTGGCCTAGTAGATGTACCCCCCACTTTTCACCAATCTTCTATAATTAATACCCCACTTTTAAAAGTGAATGGAAAGAATAACAATTACGCATGACTAATGTTTCGAGTGTAAAAACGCAATTGTTTATACATTTCGTAACCATCTCAGAAACCACTAAATCGATTTTATCGTTGCAGCAGTTATCAGAGGCTAAATTTATTAAACAATGTACTGAACATTGTTAAAATTGGAAGCGTGTATACATTGGGCCAATATTTTTACAAGCTCAAAAGTGCACAATTTCTACTATAAACGATTTATTCCTTTTGTATATTATTATGACCCGTACGTAGGCCTATATACTAGTGTTTAATATTTTCTACATACACAGGATTACTGTTTTTCCTAATTTCAAAAAATTATAGTTAGTCAATTGAATTTTATATAGCCATTATTAAACAATAATTATACAGCCTTTGACACGGACATGTTACGTTGACGCAATCTCGCAATCGGACGTCATAATAATCAGTGGCGGATTCAAGTGGGGCCGAGCCGACCCTATGATTGTTCAAAATTATTTTTAAAAAATGGAAAAAACAAAGGTAAATTATAATTAGGATTTAGGTCTGAGAGTGCCATTTCCGGCAATCTAGAGGTGTCATAATCATAAATTTTCTTTCCTCAGTCCCAACAATGGTGGGGCTGAGGTGATCTCTTTCCAAAATTGTGCAAGTCCCTCCCTGTCCCCCCCCCCTCTATTTGGCTTTCCTGGTAATGATGAATTAAGTAAAATCACAAATTTATTGGGAAATAAAAAATGCTAACTAATATTTTGTGTGCTCCCTATCGCCCTAGTCCTGTTTGATCGCAAATTAGACGGCATTATTTTCACTCACAATAGTGTAGTCGCAATATTACTTACACAAAAGTGAAATTCAAAAAGAGGAGAAATAAAAAAAACTCTTGATTGATTTTAAAAGTACTGTTTACATGCAAAAAGACTATTAAAATTAATGACTGTTTTAAGCTGATTTGTTTTTCATGGTTCGAATTTTGAATACGTCACAATAGATAATAAATCATTATTTTTATGAATGTTAGTTTGTACGAAATATATAAGCGGGCATAATTATGACTAAAAGGATATTTAAAAACTTTTTTATGAGTATTTCAGTGGCAGATTCAAGGGGCCCAGCCGGCACACCATCCCTATTTTTATTTATTTTTTTTTTCGATTTGAAAGTGGGAAAAATGAAAATTATATTCAAATTCAGTCCGAGAGTGCCATTTCCGACCAACTAGAGGTGTCATAATCCTAAATTTTCTTTCCTCAGCTCCAACCACGGTGGGGCTAAGGGGATCTACTTTCCAAAAGTGTGCAAGTCCCTCCCTGCCCCCCCCCCCCCCCTTTTTTCC